CCTCTAGGTTAATAAAATATGGCGAAACTATATTAAAATATTACTAGCAATTATAAAAATCAGCTATAGGCACTTTCAGCATTTCGGCACTTTCGGCACTTTCGGCACTTTCGGCACTTTCGGCATTTCGGCACTTTCGGCACTTTCGGCATTTCGGCGTTTCAGAACAATTTGCCGAAACTATTTCGGCAGTTTCGCATACGCCATTCTGCCGAAACTCCCTAGTTTCGGCAAGCAACCTTATTTGTAACATATATGAATCCATCAGCATGGGGTTTCTGATTTTTCCATAATCAATTTTCAAAATCCTGACTGTAATGTCACACCTTGGATTTTTTTTTTTTGCATAAGCTTCTTGCTAACTTGCTTGTTTTATTTTTAGTACTTACATGTTTTAACTTCACTTGGTATAAACTATACATGCTGCCAAATCCCAAATTACTTTGTACACCCATGGTATTCTGTCTCCAAATTAATAAGTGCCCAGGATTTGTGGGGACCATTTTGTTACACTAGATGCTTATTGATTAGGAAAGCAGGGGCAGGAAGGTTGGTTTACATTTGGATTTGTACATTTGAGATGTACAAAGTAATTTGGGATTTGGGCTCTTGATTTTTAATTTGGGCAGCAACACCTATAGTATAAAACCCTCAGTAACACTGGTGCACATGCTTTGTTGTTATGATTAAGGTATGGTAAATTTAAATTTTAAAAGCTTGGTAATCAATTATTTATTTACAGTCAATCCCCTCTAAGTGCCTCCCCTTGGGTAAGGTTGTGGGCAAAATTCCTCCAGAAATCAATCAACGAAGTTTCAATAGGTTACACATTAATTGTTTATTAGAGTTTTGGCAGAGTTTCGCATTTAGGGGGGGTTGTCAATTGTCAGAGTTTTGACAAGGTATTGCTAATTGTTCATTAGAGTTTCAACAGAGCTTTGACAGTCACTAAGAGGTTTCAGCAAGTGACCTTACTCTTGGGAATGAATGATAGCATGCACTTAGAGAAACAAAGTACTTCATTGGTTGCACATGATACTAATAAAAAATACTACTGCCATTATTATTATTACCAAAAAAAAATTTATATTCATAATTGTTGATTAAGATAAGAGTCCATTGTATTTATTGTTTTTAAACTAACATATCTATCAAGAGAATTAATCAGTTAGGAATTAAGGTTAATTTATAATAGAGATTTTTATTTTTTAATGAAATAAAATTCTTGATACATGTCTAATTTCAATTACATAAACCTCTATGTCTGCTTTTTTTGTTCTTTTGTTATAATAATCTTTGTATCCATTAAAAAGAAATAATCCTTTATTCTCTTGTCACTTAATAAAGTGAACAATTCTTTACTTGCCTGTTACAAAATAATTCTTTATCATCTCTTGTTAATAATAAATTTAATTCTTTATATCATTTGCTAAGTATAAAATTTAATTCTTTATATTTCTTACAAAATATCAATTCTTTGTTACATAACAAATTAATTTATAACGTCAGTCACACCATTTTCATTTGGAAAGTATCACGTGATAGTCACGGGTGTGCGGAGTTTTATATAGATGGGAATGAAAAAAGACTGTGCAGTGAAGGGGGGAGAGGGTGCGTATTTATCTCTAATCCCCAAGCTTTGGAATGAATGATAACATATTCTAGAGTTTCTGTTATCACTATTTGAGAATCACATTATTTACAATATTTTTCCTAGTGTCACGTGTTCGGAGGATTTGTAACAATTAGTGCCAATTATTTGACATGATCAACAATCGGAGAATTTTGTAAAACAATCAAATGGAAAAGTTTAAGAGAGTGATAGAAATTTTTAATTTCGCCAAAAATTTTCCGCATCGGGGAATCGAACCCCGGCCGTCGCGGTGAAAGCGCGAAATCCTAACCACTGGACCAATGCGGATATATTATGAATTCTTTATATTATTTTATTCTAAAAAAGCTGATACGTTATCACGTGTTTGCAGTAAACCACTCAGGTTATACAAGTATGAGGCGCAAAATATAATGTATAAAATATATAAAATATGATTTGAGACCTTTCATGTAAATAAGTAAATAAATGCTTTAAAATACACAAAATATCATTTAAAAGGAAAGGTAATAGCCTTTTTCATTAAAAATTGGATATATTTGAAACACTCTTGGAGCAAAGGTATCATGAACAAATGTTTTATATGCTAATTTATTTTCATACAATTATATCTTAAGGTAATATATATGTATTAATCGGTAAAGGCGATGAATGAATTTGTGCAATTAATGCGTGTGTGTGTGTGTATGTGTCCGAATAACAAGTCTTTAATGACTGTTATTTCATAAATCGGATGGTCTGTGAAATTGTTTCTTTGCACATGCTATATATAAAAATAAGATGAGTTAAAATCTTATTCATTTTAAATTAAAAATTTAATTGTATATTCTAATATTATTATTATACAGTTTCTGTTAAGGCATCTCTTCAATTTGCTATCCTGGTTATTATTAATGGTTTGACAATTTTCGCATATATCTGCTAATTCTAATATAAATAATATAAATAAAAATCATTATTTTTATGAATCTCAATATGCATATTATTATATTATATTTAATATATATTATAATTACATTCTTTTCCAAAGAACCACCAAATTCAGAAGTAAGTGGACCAATAGGTGACAATAGTTGTTGGCTCTATTCCTGAACTTTGTGCTGTATTGCTGATGTTGTACCAATAACCAATTTTGACATTTGTTGTTCCATTAAATGACATCATGGAACTTTTATAATTTATCTCGTTTCTTGATACATGTTTTGCTAATTGAATACATACATATCGTATATATATAAATATAAAAAATTTTATTATTGGAGGTTCATATAAAATAAATAATAAATACAAAGCTGTTGTTCTTTTTGTTGAATAGTCATTGATTATTATACCAGAACTATTTGTTACTGCTAACTTTATAGTAGTGGGTGTGGATATGAATTTTGAAGTAAAAGTAGAGGTAGTAATAATTTTAATTCATCCAAATTTTTATTATTACTAATTTTGCCATATTAATATGTAATTATCTCTCTTTATTAATCGCAAAAGGATACATAAAAGAAACAAATATGATTGATTTTGATGTTTTAACTTAGAACGTGTTACCAATATATTATTTCTGTTCATACTACGAGATTTTCTATTAGGTAAATAAATAAATAGTAAAATTATTTATGAATGGCTAGTTATTTCATGATAGCTATAAATATAGTTTCCATGAAGTTAATTAATGTAAACATTGGTATTAATAATTTAAATTCCTTTATCATCTGATCATTGTTACCAGTATTTGCTTCAGAGTACTTTCAATGAACCAGATCATGATGAAAAAGTTATTATAATGTAACTTGATTGTCATTTTCTTAATTAGTATCACGTAACATCTAATACAATCAATATGATCTATGTCAACTTCATCCTATATAATATTATTATCTTGTAATATAAACCATTTCAATTATTATGAAAAAAATATTTGTAAAAAATATACTGCTAATATGAAATTTGTCAACAATGATGATTAATTAACTTGTCATCGTCATTATAGTTTATTAAAAAAAGATCTTAAATTCATAAATTTTCATATATTCATTCTTTTGATCCTTTGCCTTTATTGTTCGAAAATCCATAGATTTTTCAATAATGCCTAGATAATCAGTCAATACACTTGTATCAACTAAGAAAAATCCATATTTATCTTTTCTATTCAATTTAATAAATTTTTGATTACCCAAAAAAAAAAATCTATCACATAATTTTTAACAATTTATCAAAACAACATTTATTTATTTTTCTTTTTGGATATTTAAAGAATGGTTGTAACTTTTTTTTTTGTATTTTGGTGGTCCACCAAGTTTGTGTATTAATGGTTGTTTGTTGATTGTAACTGTTGATCCGCCATCATTAATAAATAAAGATGTGCTTTTTCAGAGTTAGCTGTGTGATTTAATGTTGACTCGGCTTTTATTAAAATATTGATTGCCAAGATTTCAACATCTGTTAAAAAATATAATGGTAAATGTAAATTTATGTTGATGCTCAGTTGCTGTACTGGGCTTCTTCAATGTTCTTTTTCCCTTATTAGAATAACTTGATTTCACTGTAGTATTCGAATTTTTATTAAGAATTAAAGATTTTGATGGCTTATCAATATTATTCTTAACATCGCTACTGCCATCATTCTTAATTTCAGAAATTTCTTAAAATCATTAGCTTCATTAATCCTTGATGATCAGCACCAGCAATCTTTTTATTTTTCTTATCTTTAGAATTTTTAAAGGTTTTGTTCTTAGATGATGATGTTGAACTCTCATATATTATAGCGTCTAAAATACCTATACTAATGCCATTCTCTTCTACGGATAGCTTGTTGGTTTACTTTATTATACCTTTTACTTTTGGTAAGAGTAGTATTGTTCTTTTATTCTGCCCATTATCACCAGAAGCTGTTTACTCTTAATTTTAAAATAGTATGACAAACTATTGTTGACGTTGTTGTTGTTGATGATGGAGAGATAAAGACAAAGCTTCTGCACTAGAAGAATTGTTGTATCATCAGCCACAAGTTTATTATTTCTATTAGCTGTTGCAATATCTATATCATTTATGTTGGGTGATTGTGTTGCTTGAGAGGCCTTATTCTGGTTTAAATTTATTATTTGTTACTGAAGTGCTTGCATCAACATTATGACTGATATTCGAATCTATATAAATAAAATTCGTTTTAATGGCGCAAGTAATTGTTTTTACGTACTTTTCTTTTATTCTTATTATTATGATCAGTTTTTTTACCCATGGTTAATTAATTTATGCTGCCATGCTATAATAGCACGGACGAGGTAGGTTATATCCTATTTTGTAGATGATAATCATAGCGAACTTGGAGAGTTTTCCGTTTGAATTTGTCTAGTAACAAGGTCATCACCTTATTTCCTCAAAACGTGATGGAATAGGATAAGCCTACCGGAATTAAAAGATTCGGTCAGTAAATCTTCTTCAAAATCTAATTCCGGTAACATATGTTAATTAATTGGTGATGAATGAAATCAGCGAAAGATCTGTATTTTATAATTTTAACATGATGAACAAAGAATTTTCTATGTTGGACATACAGATTTGGGAGCCTTGCTATTCATTCATAGATTAGTAATCAATTGGTTAAGAAAAAGTTTCTAAATAAACTGCCTTTTGATGAAATTATTATCATCTTTAATAAGGATTGTTCCATGACCATTATCAATATCATAACCATCATTATCATTATTATCATCATTATTAGACACAGAATTTACATGTTACTGTATAGACCTTCTCTCCACTTACACTTGATAAATACATTGAGGACATAATAGATGACATTTTTGTAATAAATTGTAGCAATGATAAACAAGTTATCATCGTCTTGTTGACAAAAAATCTGCAAATCTGATTTTTTAATAAAAGCCAAAAAAATCAAAGATTGAAAAGAATATTATCATCAATAGTCATGATTGCATTACTTTCATGCATGATTTTTTCAAATTTGCTCGTAGAAATATTAAAAATTTAATCTCCGAAATCAGCAAAAAAATTACGAAATTTAGAAAGAGAAATGTGTTCTCTAAGATCTGCTAGTAATATTAATTTTTATATAAATTTGATCTACATATAAGGTGATGCACCGTACAATGGAATATTATGTATAGAAACGAACCAATTTTTTTTTTTTGCTTTTTGCCGAGAGCCTTTTTTGAAAAGTTGTTGTTTTTTTTTTGTTTTTTAAAATGTAAAAAATAAAAATATACATTAAAAATGAAATAATTAATTAAAAATAAATTAATAATTGAAATAATGGTAATAATAAATGATGATAATAATATCTTTTTTTAATAAATTTTTCTAAGTTTCTATAAATTATTATCTATAAAGCATTTCTTCTTGTTAAATCATCGAATCTTTTGAATGTGTATCCAACAAAAGCCAAATCCCTTTGATTGTATTCGCCAGATGTTGTATTTGTTGTTGGACGTTCTTTTAATTATTATAACAATTAGTTTAGTAAAGTTATTTCTTTGAATGAATAAAATATAGATGAATTTATATAAAACTAACCAGGCATTTGTGGTTGATCAGGAATTTTATCCAGTTCATCTATAGGGAAATAACTAGTATCCGTAATCGATTTTAAAGCAGGCACAAATGGTGCCTCGATACCACGAATTGTTTCCCAATCAACTCCATCAAAAAATGAATGTGATTTGATTTCATCTGCGCCATGACGTCCTAAACGTTGCTCTGGTGCACACATAAGCCTAAATGAATAATTTAAATTTAAATGTGAATATGTATGAGTATGAATATATATGGGTTATTTTGTGTATTATTATTACCTTCTAATTAAATCTTCAGCTTCATGACTTAGATGAACATCATCAGGAAAATATAATTGATCACGCCAATTAATAATTTTCCTATATGTTTCATGTGGATGTTCACTCGCAAAGGGTGGATAACCAACAAGACATTCAAACATAATTGCACCTAATGACCACCAATCACACTCTTTTCCATATCCTTGCTGTAAAAAAATTTCAGGTGCAATGTAATCAGGTGTGCCAACTGTAGAATAAGCCTATTTTCAAATAATAATAATAATATTATTATTATTATTATTATTATAATTATTATTAATATTATAATTAATTAATTAATATTTTTCTTTTTACCAATGCCCTCCTATTCCTTTTCCATGTGGCGATTCTATCCTTATTTGATAATGTTAAATTGATGTTAGGTTCACTATTTAACGATCTATGGCCTATTGTATTATGAGAACCTTCCAGAAGTCTTTGATAATATGCAGAATCATGAGTTCTATGGAATCCTGTTGAAAGTCCAAAATCAGATAATTTAATATGACCATCTTTATCAATTAAAATATTATCCGGTTTAATATCTCTAATGATTTGATTTTTTTTTTAAAAAAAAGAAAATTTTCAAAATTGGCACATTTTTAATATTAAAATAATCATTCAATCAATCATTTAATTAATTAATACCTATGGATAAAACCCAGTTTATGAATTGCATCAATCGCTAACACACACTCTGCTATATAAAATCTTGTTACGTGTTCTGTGAATGTATCATATTTCATTAACATTGTCATTAAATCACCACCTGGTAAGAATTCCATAATTAAGTAAAGATATGATGTATCTTGAAATGAAAAATACAATTGCACAACCCATAGTGAATCGGCTTCCGCTAATATATCACGTTCAGCTCTTACATGAGCCAACTAGTTAAAAAGTAAATAAATGGACATGAATAATAAACATGCATACATATGTAAGTACGTACGTGCGTAAATATATAAATAAAAAATGGTTGCATATTGATTACCTGATCTTTTTTAAACATATCAGTTTTTCTCAATGTTTTCATTGCATATATTTTACCAGTATCTGCCTTTTGAACTAGTCGGACCTAGTCAATTAATAATAAATTAAAAATTAAAGACAGACATTTCCAATATTAATTCGCACTACAAATTATAAAATGTGATCTTTTTTTTCTTACCTCACCAAAAGCACCTTTACCAATAACTTTAATAGTAAGAAAATCTTCCAAACCTATTCTAGTTCTTCTAAGTCTCAAAAATTGCGACTCTTTGGTTCCGAGCGATGAAAGTTGTCTATTCTTTCGTTCATCTGAACATTCTTCTTTCTCAAGTTTTTTTTCAAGGTCATGAAGACTAAGTAAATAAATAAATACATATGCATGAATAAAATATTTAAATTGTTGATTATTTATTAAAACATTTATCTATAACTAATCTCCCGGTCAGTAAAAGAACTTAACCTATTACCGTTCATTACGTTCTCGTGCTTGATCTAAAGTCACCTTATAAAAATGTTCCAATTTAAGTTTTGCTGCAGTTGATCTATCCAATGCACCTTTTGAAAACTCTTCTGTACTTCTATCAAAAACTACATACTCATTGCCATTATTATTACCACCACCAAAAGGCACGCCAGCATTATTACCTCCCGCTAATTGTGTATTATGCATGTCGTAATCAGCCATCTTGTTCTTAAGTTTTTTATAATAAATTAGTTTATAATATATTTTTTCAGTATTTGGGGCATGATTGCTGTAACATAAAAATTTCAGGGGCCTGAATTTTAGCGATAATAATAATAACAATAATAATAATAATAAATAATAATTACTAATCTCTAAAATTCCCGATTGTCGATCATGTCAAATTATATTATATGGGCATGCAACAAAACCAAACAAAGTGAACATTGGTGTTACCAAAGATTTCAGGGATCAACAATGTTTGCTTAACATCACAATGTAATGCGATCATGATATTTGTCTAGACAAAATAGTTAATATGAAACTCATTTACATCAGATCTACTACGGAACCCAACAATTATAGCACCATTAGAAGTATTTTGAAGAAAGAATAGGATGTCCATATGTTTTTAAAATAATTATTCCTATTCATATTTCTATATTTATATTTATTAACCTACTCATCTGATGTAAATATTTATTTAGAATTAGTAATTAGTTGATAAGCATATTATTGGAGAGTAGAATAGCACACATCATGTTATTTGTACTGCCCCAAGAGGTATAAATACACTTGGCTTTAGACCAAGTTAAAAGAATTAATCAATTGTTAATATGGTTGATAACAACCTTGATGATAATAACATAATAATAACTCTTAATAAATATATAACCTTACATAAAATAGTCTTTGACTGTAAGTAACTAATAAACCCAGTGTGGTTGTCCCCCCAAGCCTTCTAATGATTAATGGTCTGGTCAACCTTTAATTATTAGTTGGGAACCCTTTTAATTATTCAGATATGTCTCAAGGGAATGCCTTTGGGATATAATTAGCTAATTAAACTAGTGACCGTAAGTCAGCGAGTAGGCTGTGTGTCATATAAAAGTAACTTTGACCATAAGTCAGCAGATAGGCTGTGTGTTGAATGCAAAATAACCTGTTAAATAGGAAACTCAGATTGCACAATACACTGAAAGCTTATCTAAGAAAAGAAAAGAATACCTATGAAATTTAACAAGAAGAAAGAAAAATAATAAATGTTGGAAAAAGAAAGCATCATGATGATGTATTGTTACATAATAAAATGCAAAAATCTTTGGACAACAAAATCTAAAAAAACAACTTACTACCTATTTTTATCTTCCCCAGTAATATTTATGAAAACAATACTACATGTTCCACTTGGAATTGGCTTCTTTTTTTTTGCTTAAAACTTACTATATTAATAAGTAATCATGACCAAAAAAGAATGTAATAATATAAAAGAAGGTTTAGAAATTAATTGATGAAATGAAGAAAACGAGATCCACCAATTTTGTTGCTGAGAATGCTCTGAAAATTTGATTCAAAAAGAATTAGATGAAAATACTGCTGACCAATAAAGAAATAATAAATTATCATTAGAGAAACCTTAAAAATAAAGAAATTTTGATTGGCCTTTTAGGACAAGAATTATTAATCAAAAAGGCAGTAGTAGATGAGACAGCATTACTATATGGTGCCCTCAATGCAAAATTATGTTGGACTGGGATGTTACCACTTATGAAGTTAGTCAAGGATATAAATGCTTGCAATGTCATAATTATACATGAAGTCGAAACTATTTCAACCATTTGCAGATCTGGTTGAAATAGGGTCGAAATAAGGTTGAAACTGATTTTTACTATGTAGTTGCCTCAAGTCAAAACATTTCAACTTTGGGGTTTTAATTTCGACTTCATGTATAGTCATAATTTCCACCAACAAATTGCAAGAGGTAAACAAAATGAACACTTTACTTGAAAAGATGATAATACTCCTAGTTATATTTGTCCAAAAAGTGCAGAAGGGAATGAACTAATTTGCTATTTGTGTGACAAAATGGAACTAAATAAAAAAGGAATGCTTAAATCTCAAGTCTCTGAGCTAGGGAAAAGTGTAACTGCTGGGGCGGTTTTAAGGCAAAATTCTAAAGTTCATGTAACATTGTGTACCAAACACCATGCTGACACTTTTGAAGAAATAACTAGGCAAGAATGATCAGATATTTTACCTGTACTTAGAGATGTTGTTAAAAAGGTTGTCAAGGCTTATAATCCAAAAGGCTACAGAGTTAGTATACCAATACCACCAATTGGCACCCAAAATTCACCCCATTTTATATGCGGGTGGTCCCTAAATACAAAGAAGGTTATGGAAGTGTAGGAATCAAAAGTATATTGAGAAAAAGTTTTCCCAGACCAAGGAACCTGAGACCAAATTGGAGAAGTCTGCCAAGAACTTATACAAAAAATGAAATCTGCATCATTTGCTGGTGGTTTTACTATCAAAAGTGAACTTAATGAAAAGGCCACACAATATGAAGAAAAGAAACAGAAATTCTTCAAGTTATTGTGAAACTTATCCCATATCTGAATCTTTGATATTACTTTTTCCTAGATTCACATTGCAAAATGATGAAGGCAATTCAGACCCCAAAAAAAACAATCAATTTCTAAGATGAATGAGTTGCAGAAAAAATAAGAAATCCTGAAACTTACTATCAAAAATGGAATAAAATTCCCAGGGCTCAACTAGAAAACCAACTTAATAAGAACAAGAGAGAGAAAACTTATTGAATGGTTGGTTGTGGAATACTATTGTGTCTTCTAGTTATTTTAGTTATTAAGACAGTGAGGATTAAAAAACATAATAGTTAATTATGTCATTTTATTTTAGTATAAAAATTATTCAATTACATTTTATGCTGGATTGGGGCAAGTAATATCTTTATATTTGTCTTTCACAAATGGATGAATATTCTGGTAAAGATATTCTTGTCTTTTGTAATCCAAAGTAAGCGGTGTTAACACCAAAATAGGCAAAGCTCTAATTTCTTCAAAAATATCTGCTTTTTTGATTTTCAATAAATTGGATTCAATAAAAGGTCCATTAGCAATTTCCTGAACTTTGACCACACCAAAGTTAGATGCTTCAAAAAGAAAATGTTGATATTTCTGTATGCTTGGTAATTTCTTAAAATAAATTCCCAAAATTGCTTTAATATCTAAATATTGAAATCCTTTTTCACCTTCATAACACTGTGCTTTATTTAACCCAGCTGAACTAGATTTTCTTATTACATCTACTACATGATCCAGACAATTTACTCTTGTTCTTCTATAGAGTTTTTAATCATGCCAAAATTGCCATCACACTTGAATTTAGTATGTCCAGGAATTGTGAAATTCAATTCAATACTTTAATAATAACCACAAATTACCAAATATAAATAAAATCAAATTGTAGTGTTATTTTATTCTGCCCACCAGCATTACCACAAGTAATGCTTTTCATCTTTATTCAATTTCTTGATTCCATCAAAAATCATGCTAAGAGTGCCATTGGGGCCTTTTCCTATAATTTCATCTTCATTAAGAACATAATTAATTTGTTCTCTTACTGCTTCATCTTGAATACTGAATAAATGAAATTTACATAGACTAAGGTAATAGATTTTACTTACTTGTTGATCTAAATGTGGCACATGAACATTTTGGGCTCAATCATAACTATAATGAGCAGTAGCATCAATACTGCAATATTGTGTTTTACCTTAAATTTATATTTATCAGGATCATTTTTATCACAACCTCTAACTTTGCATGGACCATTATTTGCATTCATTTTGGCAATTAAAATTTGATTTGATTGTTAAAATTTGATGTTAAAATTCAATTTAATTTTGATTTTAACTTCAAACTACAAGTCCTATATATATAAAATTATTACTATTACTGTTAAAAATTAATGAACCGGCCGAATGTTTTTTTGTGATCTCTGATCGGCCATGACTATTTCTATTTTTAATTTTTCGCAACAAATCAGAAATTTGTTTTGTGTGATATTTCGGATTTGATTGTCACAAAATTTAACCAATGAAATTCCAAGAATAGGATGTCCATTATGCTTATTGTGGTGTTTTGTTATTACCAAACATATCAGGTCAACTCAGGAAAAGTATTGGTAAAATCAACAACATCAATGTCACCATCTTTACCATTGTCATCAATAAATGATGATAATCCATCAAATGAATCACATTTGTCATCATCACCTTCAGCATCACCATCAAATGAAATTCACAACCATGATACAAGGGCCATTACACAACCATGATACAAGGTTAGAATTACCAAAAGGACAATTAGACAACAACGATACAAAATCAACAAATGAACTGCTGTCCAATGATAGTTTAGAATCATTTTTACCACAACAAACCAATAATAATAATCAAGAATTACCAGTTAGTGAACCAAATAATGAACCAAAATCAAAATCACCCACTGTAAATAACAATGGTAATAAAAGTAATTGTGATTGTGGAAAAAGAGGAATGGATGCAATTGAAGATAGTCTTGAAAACTTTTTCATAAAATATATTAAGTTAAATTAATGTATTATTTTTTTTACAATGGATAATGTAATTAATTTCATCATGCATAACTATGTAAATATTCCTCCACATCAAAGTGTGCCTGTTTTTCCAATTATAATAATAATAAATTCTTTACACACCTCTAAATAATATACCATTAATAATAATTATAAACATTTCTTTACATGAAATTGATATTGTTGTTAATTTCATCACATTTGGCGAATTTGGTAAAATGTGAAGCAATATTTTTTTTTCTCTTAAATTCAATACAATACATTATTAAGAAATTTACATTCTTACAATTAAAAAAAAGCCAAGACAAAATAAGCAAACTCTGCATTTAAAATAAATCAGATAACGAATTGAATATTCTTTCAATGTAATTTGAATACTCAAACTCGTAATGATTGAGTCATGTGATTTTATAATCCTGTGACACTGAAGAATATCTGCTATTTGGGATTTGAAGATTTGGCAGTACAATGAAGCATTTGATGTCTTTAGATGGCATGCACTATAATATAATGATGGTTTTAAAAATAATTCTCTGGTATTATTCCTTTAGATTATGAAGAACAAGTTGGAGATGCAACAACATTAATACAAAATATAAATGGTCAAAGAGATGATGTTGATAATTTAATTGATAGATTAAGTTTCAGTTCAGCATTAGCAGCAGAGAAATATATATCAATTGATGGTGAGGAGATTAATGAAATGCCATCCAAAAAGGAAATTCTTGAGCAAATTGGAGGAGAAAATGTTATTGTGGGTAATACAAGTAGTACAACCATTCCTAATGTTCTAATAATAAATGAAGTTGTAAAAGCTTTTGAAACTGCTTTTAATTTTCTTGAACCAAACAATATGAATTAAAAGCTTTAAAATCATTGAAAAAGAAAATAGAATCATAGTATTCAAAATAATTGATGACTATACAGTAATAGTAATAGTAATAGGTGGGTGGTCCCTTAGATCAGTTGAAATGAGGTTTGACCATACTTTGGGGAAAATCCAATCTAGAATACTGGGATTTATTTAAAATCGCATAGGAAATTTTATATATTGGAACAAGCCTCATAATTTTAATATCGCATGTTTTTATTACACAATTAATTAATTCCTTTAAAAAAAAATATCTTACATTGAACCTATACTAATTCTAAAGACAAGTCCTATGTAGACAGCCCACAATAAGGTGTCTTAGGTGCAAGCCCCACTGTTGCAAACGACTCTTGTTGTTTTTCTGTAATATACTTCAAAAGTATATTACAAGCTCTATTTGCATATCTATTAATGGCAGATTTATAAGATGTACAACCAAAGATCTTTGAACATATCCACAACATCTGCATGTTTGCTAGTGTATTTCTCAGTGCAGATGACAACCTTGAACCAAAGGTACTCGCAGGATTTGTGGAGCAAATATTGGCGAAAATGGTAATGTGACCAGGTCTTAGAATTTTAGAGTAGATTTTTCTAGAACCGCATTTTTAACTATGTCTTATGTTTTAAACTCAGGAAGCCACATCATCAGGAAAATAAATCTCATGTAAACCTACACAGGATTTAAAACTGACCAGCATTATGCGGAAATGTTAACAGAATTACCAAAATATCAACATAATGCTGGCCAATTCTGAACCCTATGTAGGTTTACGTAAGATTTATTTTCCTGATGATAGTGGTTTTCAAAGAACCATCCTGGTAATCTTTGATGACATTCATCCACAAGATTACGAATTTTCTTGTGGATACAGAGTATGCACTGACGGGAGCTTATACTTCCTACACTTATTTGCTTGGTCATGAATAGAATCCCTTTCACCTCGGATTCTATCATAATGCAAGCACAATTGATATATTCTACTAATACCCCATTCTGTAACCTCACCACTTGAGTTATAGCTTGTCATGAAGGTTTTCACTACTGGATCAAGAGAAATGATGCTAGTGCCTCTATTATTCTCTTCAACCGCTGAAAATCTAGGACCTTGGTTATCAGCATGGTTTGGGAATACACAAATAGGATTCGCCAAGACAATTCAGTGAGACAAAGGTCATTATTTATTTCAGCTATTTCTCACTTGCATCAATATCTTTGAGAAATGAATAATGGTTTCTTCCTCATTCTCTTGATAGAATGCAATTTATTCTTTTTAGATCTGAATTTTTAAAGCAATATAATTTTTAAAAAGTCCATCATTGCTACATCCCTAATGTAATAATGCATGTCAAGACTAGTATGATGCCAATCATCTAAACACATCAAATGTTGCGTCAATTGGTGAAATTTTCTATGAAAATCATTCCTTTTATGGAACGCGATTTTTAACTCAAATCTATTTCTTTATTTTTTTTTTTGTTAAAATGCCTAAACAGAATAAAAGAAATTAGCATTTACAAAAGCTTGTGAAACTAAAAAAATGAAAGAAACTATTAAACCCATTACAGATGAATATATTGATAAGGAGGTGTTTGAAAATGAATCTCAGATTGACACAAACATTTTGAATGAATTAGATGTAAATGAACCTGGATTAGAAATCGAAGAGTCAATCTATGAATACATTGAACCTGATGATGACTGGAGAGATTTATCTTTAACTACAAAATTAGAATCTTGAGAAGGTTTACAAAAAACTGTGTCATTGGCTCTTAATTCTATTTTTCTCTGTAAAATTCGTAATTTTGCAAGAAGATGTTATAGGTTACGAGTGCCTATAGGATGGGGCTTTCTGGTAAAGCTGCTATTTTTGCAGTTAAAAAGTATCACTCTCGTAGAAGAGTTCCCGAATCTGTTTTAGTGTAATTTCACGAGTCACAAATATCACGTAGCACTTCTTTATATCGTGAAAATATTCTTTAAATAGAGTAATGATCAGTGGTGAAAAATTTTTTTTTAATAGTAAAAATGACAAACTTTAAACCATTATAACTCTTTTAATTTTAATAAAATTTAAAAAAACACCCTATTGCATCTTTCCTTATGTCTTATAGAATAAAACTATAGAGAGTTTTCTTTTTTATCTTGCATGGTCATTGAGCTTATACATTTTAAAGTTTAGTTAAAATTTTTGATGTCTTTAGATGATCAGCAATAGTTTTCACGTAAATATTTTCTTTCTATTTTTGTGTTTTTATATCATGATTAATTGCAGCTAGGCATTGGTTGTACATCCAGCGCGTGATACCAATCCATTTTAATATTTTGTTTTTTTCTTCCAAATTAGAGTAAAGTCATAATTTTCCTACTGGAGGCTTTTTGGAAGAGGAGGTCGAAGATGAAGCAGTAACATATTCAACTTTAAAAGAAGACAAAGAAGAAGTTAAATTCTCATTTATAGAAGAAATTACATCTTTAAAATTCTTCCGTGCTCTATCTGGTAAAAGGGAAAATTATTTAAATCTCTAGGTATTTGTGGTTTAACTATAATCCATGAACCAAGAAGCTAGTCTTTTTAAAGAGTCATTCCATTGACTTGGGCACAGTAATTCGCTACTAGTTTTTAAGGGTAACCAACACCAATTTGTGAGTTTTTGAGTGAATTAATCCCAGAATGGCTTATACCTTTTTACATTCGAAGAAGCTGGTTGTGGTGGTGAGTCAGAAGATTGCATAAAATTTTCAATAAAAATTTATACGATTTTGCAAATAAGAATATAACTGTACAAAAAGTAATAAATTAAAAACACTATTTTTCAACAAACTTTTTTGTTTATTTGTTTTGTAAAAAAGTATTTTCCGATTAATATATGTGTGTGTGAAATTAATCACGAAATCAATCAATCATCAATTCGCAATTTTAATTTGTTTTTTTATTATTATGTAATTACAGTCTTACCTCTTTTATACCCCCCTTTTTTCCATGCGTTTTTTTCAAATTTTGTGGGATATATATTAGAAATATATAGAATAAGGACATTTTTAACTGTTCAAATGTGGGATATAAATGAGGATAAGATTAAGAGGGGATATAAATGGGTGGGGATATAAAAGAGGTGTGACTGTATGTAAAAGTAATAGTTTGCTAATACTAATATTAAAATCCCTCTCATTAATTGATCGAAAAAGTAATGGTTTATTATTTGCCAAGATCCCTGTTTATACAGCCATCCATCATTAATTGATAGAAAAGGCAATAGTTCTTAAAATATAACGGTTTTATCTCAATATAGAGATGACATACATTTAAGTTTGCCCTCCGTAATCAAATATTAATATCAAAAGTTGCAACTTTATATATTACATAAAAACTACACATAGTGTTGCAACATAATCACAATGCAGTTAGACCAATTTCTATTTATATTGTCTCAAAAATCTTATTATTATAAAACATTTGATACGGTCGGGCATCTTTAAAAAATGACAAACATAACTTACACGTAGGTTGGTAATTTCCATTGCCAAGATGGCTCCACGTATAAAATATTTCATTATATTTTGGACCATGTTTGTTTCTTGTTATCAGTAGCAAAATTCATCTTTAATTATATTATATGAAAAATACGAAAAAGAAATGGTTTTAAAATGCATAAAACATACTCGCGGAAGAAAAGATATTGAAAAGTAAGATCGTGATCTACTTTTTATTTGAATGTAACATTACGTAAATATTTATAGCAAATATTACAACATTGCGGTTAGTTGCAACATCGTAAATTATGACTTTCCAAATTGTATTTGTTGCAACACCGTAATAGCGTAATTTTACATTACGGGTGCAAACTTTACATGCATTACGACGACAAATGTATATATATTAATATTGGTTTTTTCTTATTTTTCTTGTAAATAATTGTTGGATTCATGTTGTTCTCAACACAGCAAGAAAAAAACGGAAGGTTCTGGAAGTAGAAAAGTTTTATGACCTTGGAAAGAAAGAAAAACAAATCCATTCGAGATTAATTTCTTCAACATCAACATGCCATATTGACTGATCAATTATACAACGCAACCATTTTCGTGAAATTGCAGATTCCCTTTTATAGATAAATTACCAAAAATAAGTAATAATAAAGTCATTGTTTTAAAACAAAAAAAAACCAATTAAAGTCATCCAAAATCAGGTGATGGAGGTGTGTAATTGTGCGTAGTAGTCAATTTTGGGTGCAACAATCATTATAAAAATAATAACTTGCTAAAATAAAATAAAATAAAATAAAAAAAATGTATAAAGGATGGTCTTTCAGCAATTGGGGCTTGAGCATTGCAATACCGGTAACAATACAAAAAAGACTACTAAAATTTTTAATAAAACGAGCTTTAGGTCATTTTTTAGCAGAAGAACTAGATCTCGATAACCTTGAGGTTCAGTTGTTGGGTAATGGTGTTGTTCACTTAAAGGAGTTGCAACTTAATGTAGAGGTATTTGTCTTTTATTTTTTTTTTTCTAATATATTTATGGAACTCTTAAATATTTACATTAATATGCGTATGTATATATTTTATAATTATAGGTAATAAATGATCTTCTTACAGATTTACCAGTTGTAGTGACTGAAGGTCGAATAGGTGGCATTGTAGCTGATATTCCATGGAAGAATATATGGAATGGTGATGTTGTATTGGAGATGCATAATTTACAACTAACAGTTGTTCCAGAATATGTTAAACCAAGAAATGGTAAAAATTATTGTTTTAATAAATTGGCCCATATTATAATTATAAATGGATCAATTTATGTTTTTATTATAAACAATACAAGAAAAAAATTTAAAATAATAAAAAGAAAAAAATATAATAAAGAAATGAAATTTTTTTTATTTTTATTTATTGGATATAAAATATCATTTTCTTGGATTTTCAATTATTACATATTTACATATTTACATATATATGTATCTATACATAAAATATAAAATATTGTAGCTAAAACTACACCAGAAGATTCTCATATATCATCATCAATCATTATCGCTGGGGATTTTTTTCGTGAAATATATCCTGACGAGGATGAAGAGCTTCGAAATTCCATTTATAATTCTTTTCATAGCAGTTCAGGATATCCTTCTGATAATCAAGATCATAATACTAATAATAACATGGACCAATCTGACACTTTACCTCAACAATCATCTCTACATTCTGAAAGTAGTATTGAAGGTGTTCAAATTTTGGCAAGATTGATTGATAAATTATTATCAAATGTTAAAATAGTACTTAAAAATTCTTGCATTAGAATTCATCATCAATCCAACATTTCTCCCAATTTTAACTTGTCATCCGATCCTGAGATAACAAAGGATTATTATTTTGATCTGGAAATACCTAACATATCATTTTGTGACGATACACCCGGTTCAAGCCATTCCAAAAATACATCAAACAACACTGACAACAATAATAGTTCTGCCAGCGTTACTTTGCCTCCTGATCAAAAAGAAACAATAAAATCAGTGACAATTGATGGGTTTAATATTTGGTTGAGAGAAGCGCCATTTAACGTTTCGAATAAACTGAATCAACCATCAACTTTGAATTCAGATAGATTACCTAATAATAATGACAATGATGATGACGAATATGATAGTACATCAAATTATACAAAATCACGTAATTTTTTAGAAAAAGATGATTGTCATGATAATGAAGAAAAGCCATACGAAGCCATGATTCTTTCTTGTTCAGAGAAAGAAAATTGGATTCGAATTAGATTGCGACCAAATGCTCCTTTTTCAGTTCAAATGGATTTGAACAATGACACATCTTCATTTTATTATTCGCAAGAAGCTAAAAAACAAGCAAGTGTCACACAATCTTTGGACATTGAAGGATTTATTCAATCAGTGGCAACTATGATGACACCAGGTCACTTAGCTTTAATATTAGATTTATTGAACATTTTAGGTAAAAGTAAATATGCTTCGGATACAAGATCTTCTGGTAGTATGGAAAGTGATGATGATTTTAGCGAGAATGTACTTAAAAAAAATCAAATGGTTGAAAATAAATTATCAGATATTAATAGAACTAGTACACATAATAACCCACATCATAATCACCAGCATCACCAAAACTATGATAAGAAAAATTATTACAAACCTATGCAACCTAATTACGATGAACATTCTGATTACATTTTAGAGGATCTTGATAATATTAATAATAGTAATAATAATAATAATAGTAACAATAACTATAATAATAACAGTAACATCACAACTTCAAATATGTTTGATATAAAAATGAAAATTTCTAAATTTGAACTTTTTTTCCTATATCAGGATCCTCTACTTGATTGCATACCTGATCGGAAATTTTTTGATACAGGGGTACCAGAAATACTTAATTGCGATCATTTAAAAGTTGATATCGGTGATTTTTCTTGTAATATTCAAATCCATGAATCCGATGTTTTTTTTAGTAGAAAACGTAGTGGTAGTATTACAGGTGGTAGTCATTCTTCTAATCTACCAAAAATTGCAGAAGGTGAAGAAGGTTTAGATGTTTACGTGAATTTATCTTTATCCAACCTATCAATATCGGAGTGGCTGAATAAAAATCATCCTAAACAAGGAGAGAATTCTAAACCGGAAACCAATACATCAAGTCCCGAGTATATTCTACCCAATTTTGATATTTATAATCCCATATTATCTTTCGATCAAAATCTTTTGAACTCTTATGATCTTGAGACAATAGATTTTCCAAAATTTGTTGTTAATGAAAACCCAGCAACAAAGAATGCTAAATATAAAGCCAATAGCTTCAAGGGTTCAAGTTCTAGTGCTGCATCATTTGAAACTAGTGGAAGAAATTTTGACAACAAAGCGATTCAAATAAAAATTGGTATAAATAATTATACATCAGGAGGTATTTATATGTATAATTATTGTATTTTTAATTACATATTTTATATATATACCTATACATATATATTAAATGCTTAATAACATATTTTTAATTGATAACACTAAAGCATTTTGATTTTCTCGCTTTTAGGTTCATTGGCGTCTACACAAATATCTCAAAATCTTGTTGTTAATGATATCAAAGTAAATTTACAACCAATTCAATTACATTTGGATTTAAGAATAATTGATAGATTGGAAAGATATATAATGGTTTTAAGCGGTAACTCTAATGTTATGTATTCTCGAGAAGAAATTTCATCAAAGACAACTTATTCAGAACATTCAACAAGTCAACATATAATAGATGACTTGGATACTCAAAGGCTAAAAGAGGTCAGTTTTTTTTTTCCAATTGTATAGAAAACCTATTTATCATCATTAATATATATATATATATACATACATCTTTTTAGAATAAAAGTTTGCAAACATCACGTTTAAGTTTAAAGTGTAATTTAATAAGAATCATGCTAAATTGTCCGGATATGAGTGGAACAAATGAATTAGATGTTACAAATTATTTTAGTTTACATTCAGATTTGCTTATTGCAGATATAATAAATGTTGATCTTTATACAGATAGTAGTCTTCAAAATATTGATTCACAATCTTCAAGTCTTATATCACAACAACACGATGAATTGTATTTGAAGAATTATGAACAACAACAAGACAAAATTAAAATTGAATGTCATGGAATAAAAGTTTTTTTGAAAAAATATGATGGTATTCTTAATTAATTAATTAATTAATTGATCGACCAATTTAATTAGTTTTAAATTAATTTAATTTTTATAAATCTTTTTTTGAACAATGATAGAAAAAGAAGCTAGATGCTTTCTTAATGTGAATCCATCTATACAACCACTTAATCATAATCAATCAGCAAAAACACTTTTAAATGTAGAAATATCTTATCGTCCAACTAGTGAAATTACTAGTAGATTGACATTTATCTCAAGTGGAATTCGATCACCCTTTTCACAAACATTTACATCTTTTGAAGGTGAGGATAGAGCAACTTGGCCAACTGAAAATGAAGAAGAGGAGATTTTGATGTTCAAACAAAGAATTATTGAAAGTTCAGTGAGTAAAAAATAATTTATTTATCTATCTAGGAAATCACCTTTTTTATATTATATTAAGTTTAATATATATTTTTTATATTTATAGATATTTGTAATTACTTGTATTTTTCCTAAAACTCGTGTTCAAATGAACAAAACACAATTTGATAGACTCCAAATCTTATTTAATGATTTATCAATATGGCAACCAAACATTTCTGTGAATGATGATGAAGTTGTAGCATCTTATAATAGTGATCATATCAAATCAACTTTTAACACACAATTTAGGAATAATAATAACAGTAGATTAGAAAACAATGAATTGCCTTATGGATCAAGTATGTACGATTTGGATGATTTTGATATGAGAAGAAAACTTGAGTCTGAATTTATTGGAGCTCGCAGTGATACCAATGTATCCTTAAAACCAAGCTTGGCATCTCTTGTTGTATCCATGACAAATGGTTTGTAGAATGATATTTATAATTGTTTTAACTAAATTTATTAATTGATATGTTCTCTGGAGGCTAATTTATCTGGGTGTATACATATTATTAGTTGAAATTTCATTGTTGTGCCAGTCAGATAAAACAACAGCTCAATATGATAAAATGAATTCATATAAATTTATTATGAATGATTTTAGATTTTTTGCAGCTCTTAAACACGAAGGCAAAGTATGTAAATTTCTTTCATTTTTATTTTTATTCATTGACATTTATATTTGATTTATATATGACTTAATATAAATATATATTATTATTGGATGCAGAATGATACTTATATTGTTTTAGATAATGATCAATTCTCATTTTTGGATCAGAATGACGAACTGATATTTAGTAGAACTTTAAGCGAGGATTTTAAAGTAAATTCAAATTATTTATTTTAATTATTTATCATATTTGTAAATAATATAACTTTTTTTGCCATCATTGATTATAATTATTAGCATAAAAATACTCGACCAATGATTTCAATAATTATGCATTTATCACTTGATGATGAAGATGATGAATCAAATGTGAAAGAAACAGATATGTCATTATTTGTTAATGGTATAACTTTGAGTTTTACCAAAGATCCTAAATGGACTGGAGATCTAATAGAATTTTTACAGGAACCAGAAATGGTATTTGCATTGTATTACATTATATTATGTGTTTATTAATTAAATAATGATAAAATTTATTTTATTTTATTTTTCAGTTAACTTCTATTGAAATTCCCAGTCAATTCACTAAACTATCTGTTATTGTCAGAGATTGTTCTATTATCTATCAGCCTGAAAAATTTCCAGCAAGGGTAGTCTTCGCAATTGATTGTGTTAAGGTAAAAAAAATTCAGAGGATTAGAAAACATTTTTTAAATCTCAAATTAAAAATATCACACAAACATTAATTATAATATTATTAGTTGTGTAGTAATATTAATCCTGATTCGCCTATGTTTTCTTGCAAATTTATTGTTCAAAGAATGGATTTAATGCTTATTGATGATGTTAAATCGCTCAACAATAATAAACCTTATAATAGATTTTCTGCTGAATCTGTGAGCGTTAAAAAATATTGGAAGGTGAGCAAATAATTCTAAGGTTATATATGGTCCTTTCACTTACACAAATCAATAAATTAATAAATTAAAATTTTTTGCACAAAAATAAAGTCATTAGGATTTGTTAAAACAGCCTCTTTAGATTTTGCTGAAATATTACTTCGAACAAATAAAGGTGAAATATATCCACACTTTGAGGTAATTAATTAATTTTAATTATCATTAATTATCGATTGATTAAATATTTATAAACATCTAACTTCAATAAAACTATAGCTTGAACTTACAAATGAAAATCTTATAATAGAGACATGTGCAGATGCATTTCAAACTTTAATTGCTTTAATGACTAACATTACATCAAAGAATGGTACATCTGAAACAAAGTATGTAAAAAGAAAACATCCATCAATATATTTATTCGCTTTATATATTTGTGATTTATGATTATTTTATTTTTAAAAAATGACAAATTATCAGAGTTCCACTTAATCGAAAAGAAAGATTTCATCGAAAAGATATAAATCTTGATGGTAATTATTTAAACATAAATGTCTTATATTTCTATTTCTATAATATTAATTTGCTTTTAATTATTTAGCACTTAAAAAAATTATTGAAGAGGATGTCTTTACCCCCCTGGAGATAAATTCATCAAATCCTGAAATATCAAATTCTAATTTGGAGTTTGATGAAAAATTTTATGGCACAGAAGAAGATGATAAAGAAGACTATGAGAAAATCATAATGGATGATGCTAATGAAGGTAGTAATAACTAACATTTATTTTATTTTACTATCAATAATTATTTCTTGAAATTTATATATATTTATATGTATTTCTAGTTTCTTCCAAGCCGGATAAAAAAAAAAATATCAAGCCTGATATTACATTTGATGATGATATTAGTTCAGATTCTGATAATAAACATTTAGATTCTGATAATGAATGTTTAAATTTTGAAGATGACCATTTCTCTGTGCCAACTGCAAATGAACTTGAAAATATCAATCAAGAGTAATGATTTTATTAATCTATTTAAATTATTATTTATTTGTTTAATATTCATGCCTTTTTCCTCCTAATTTTATAGATTTCCAAAATCTTTAACAAGAATAAAATTAAACGATTTTAATGTTATATGGAAATTATATGATGGATATGATTGGAAGCACACAAAAGATCAAATTCTAGACTTTAATCTCGAGAAGGCACCAACAAATCCCATAGAAACTACAGAAAGCATATCAAAAGGGGGAATAGGTCCTTCAATAAGTGAAACCAACAACATTAACAACATTAATTATTATTCAAATAAACGACCAGAATCAATTACAAATTCTTCTTCTGCTGCTGTTGGTGGTGTAACTAATAAAATGTCTTCTAGCCAAACAAACAAACAAAGAATTAATAGCTCAAGAAAAAGTAAACTCGATATAAAGCTTGACAAAATAAATTTGGAATTTGATATTTTTCCTGCTAATGATGTAATAGCTTTTCGATTGTTGTTACTTGTTCAAGATATTGAGATTATTGATAATATTAAAACTTCAGCATGGCATAAATTCTTAACACAAATGCATCCAGACAAAGATACAAAACCTAGAGAAAGCAAATCAAACATGATAAGATTTGAATTAAATAGTATTCGTTCAATACCTTCAGAACCTGCAGAGGAATTTCGAATAAAGGTTTGTGTTTGAGACATTGTCAAGATTAAGATTTGAATAGAAAATTTCTTTAAAAAAAATATTGAAAATTTTTTCTGATCCTTTTTTATATAGTTACAATTGTTGCCACTTAGATTTTATATAGATCAAGATGCTCTTAATTTTTCAATTGGATTTTTTTCATACAAAGACAACACAATAAATATAAATCAAGTTGAAGATGATACATATTTTCGTATGTTTTTATTTTTATTTCAATAATTAGTTAATTTAGAAAAATTTATAAAATATTATGGTTAATTAATGACATATTTATATAATTATAATTTTTAGAATATTTCGAAATTCAACCTATTGTTATGAAAATAGATTATAAACCAAAACATATTGATTATACTAATTTGAAAGGAGGAAATCTAGTAGAATTAATGAACTTTTTCCATTTTGAAGCAGCGGAAATGACATTAAGATCTGTTAAATTAACAGGAGTAGGTCATTTTTTTTTTTTTTAGAAAATAAATATTGTCATTGTTATTTTAAAAATTTAATTATAAAATTTATATTATAAACCCTACTAATTTTACCAGGTCAAAGGTTGGCAACGACTATTTGAAGAGTTAGGAGCAGCATGGTTACCACATATAAAAAATACACAGGTTCCAAGTTTTGTATCTGGTGTTACCCCAATACGATCATTAGTTAACATAGGATCTGGTGTTGCTGATCTTATTCTTTTGCCAATTGAACAATATAAGAAAGATGGTAGAATAATCCGAGGTTTGTGACTTTTTAGAGTGATGTTAACAATGATATTAATAATGATGATGATTTTGATTTTTTTGTTATTAATTTGCAAATTCACTGATTACTTTTCATTAATCAAGGTCTTCAGAAAGGTACACAATCATTTGCAAGAGCTACAACTATGGAGGCTATTAAATTTGGAACAAAACTTGCAGTTGGCACACAGATTTTACTGGAACATGCAGATGAGATTCTTTCTTTTGAAACACAGCCAAGAACAAACAATAGAAATGTTAGTGAAGATCTGGAGGATAATAGTGAAGAAGAGGATGATGATAAAGAACTTATAAGTAAATATGCCAATCCACCAGCTGATTTAAATGAAGGTATTTTGAATATCATTAGTTTACTTTTATAATTGAACATTAAATATATAATATAACGTGATTATTTATTGTTATAATTATTAGGAATTGAAGCTGCCTATAAAAGTTTAAGACAGAATATCGGAGCAGCAACTCACACAATATTTGCAGTACCAATGGAAGTATATGAGAAAACAGGAACTCAAGGAACAGTTAAAGCTGTTATCAGGGCAGTTCCTGTAGCAGTGCTAAAGCCAATGATTGGTGCATCCGAAGCAGTTTCTAAAACATTACTTGGATTAACAAGCACCATGGATCCAACCAAAAGACCACAAATGGAGGATGTAAGTGTTGTTGATTTTTTTTGTTGTCAAATTTTAATTCATTAAATATATTAAATTTTTTCAATTTTGACAGAAATATAAAACGACAAAAAAAGTATAAGTGATAAAAAACATTTGGCAAAAAATTTTTATATGCTTATTTGTATATTTTTATTTATTTATTTATTATAATTGATTTACAACTATATATCACTATTATAAAAAAAATTTAATTATAAAATTTGCATCTCTCCTTTGTTATTTTTTTGGTTTTTATTTCTGAAAAAAAAATGCATTGTTCCTGCGATTATCAAAAATTATAATTACTCACAGTTCATGATAACAATTGGAACCCATATAGAATTTTAATTTTTTACACGTATTTGTTATTAAACAATCAATCAATGGTGAGCTGTTACACAACTAACTATCAAGGATAAAAAAATATCAGAAGGAAATATATATGCTGTTTTGTATTTATTGTTAAATGATTAGTCTTTTCTTTAAAATGAAGATATAAGAGAGGTACATGACAAGGATCACTTTCAATATATATAATAATGATATTTCAGTGAAAACATCAATCCATATGTGGGGCATGCTGCAACAAAACCAGACAAAGTGAACATTGGTATTACCAAATCAAAATTTAATAGTTGATTATTAAAACTCCTACTTGCTATCTTCTTAATATTAATTGATGTATAGAATTATACCCTATATAAAATAATTAATAAATCAGTATAAAAAAAATATATATGATTAATGTCTTTAGCTTTTTACAATAGAAAAATAATTTAATTTAAATAAATAAATAAAAATGTTTTATTTATTAAACGGAATCTAGGCTTTCTATTATAATTAGTACTGTTTATGTTTATTTTGTGAACCCAATGCCGATCATTTCTTAAAATTGAATGCCTGCTACGTTATGAATTCCACAAAAAAAAATCCCGGGCTTGTTACTGTTCAAATCGAATGTAATTAAATAAGGAAAGTATGAAAAATGTTACATATCTTATATTAATATCTGGATTCATAATATCCAGTGTCCGTATAGCGTAGCAAAACAATGTTTTGTGACCCTTGCGTCCGCTGTTTAGAACAAGTTTTGTGGATACTCTCATTGACGTGATCCTGCAAGGAACTGCTTCTTTGTAGCCTACTCCAGGGGCTTGTTTCTAGTATATTCAGTATAATGTTTCCTACGTCTGTATGCGCTTAACCACATATTTAATATGCTTGGTGACTCCTACAGCCAATGCTTGGTGAGAAGACATGGATACTCTTTTATTGATATAATCCTTTATGGGGATTGTTTCTTTATAGCCTACTCCTAAGCTTCTTCACCAGAAAACGTTATTCTTAGCCAGATTTTTTCATTCCTCTTTCATATCTGGTGTTAACTTTTTTTTAAATAGGATGGATTTTGACTATTTGTTCTAAACATTTAGAAGAAACAGATTACACTAGCTGGAGTTTGATAAATATAATGCGTTATGTTGCGGATTGATCAATTTAACTGATGAATGTTTTGAAGAATTTATAGATTCATTGAGATCTGCTTTATACAAAAAAAATTCAACAAAAGAACCACCTTAAATCTGCAAAGAATAAGGTTCAAAAAATTTTTAAAAATCTTAATCCATCAATCAGAAATCAGAATGAAATAAAAAATTTTTTGCTGAAGAACTAAAATTTGGACAAGCGAGTAGCATAAGTTTGTTTATAATGATGCAAACAAATACTAACAAACATATATTATCATATATTTTATATGATACAAATGTTGGATTAAGTGTCATGGAAGATAAAACTATTAAAGTACAGATAAGTAATTCTGAGTATAGAGATGTGAGTATTATGGTTCTTAGCATACTGCATCTGGGCTCTTTAGATATAATCTGTTTTAATATGGTCATCATATATTTAGTTCATAACTCAAAAATTAGAATCAGACAAAAATAATGGGTTGAATGATTATACACCTTGTCCAACAATGAATGTTTATGATTTGGAGGGAAATGTGGCAGAGTCAGAAAAAGATTTTTGCGATACTAGTACTAATGTTGAAAATACATCAGAAAGAAAAAGAAAACAAGAAAGCAGTGTAATATTTGATAATGAAATGCAAGAAAGTGCTGAATTTTTACTTAATCTTAATGGATCTAATGAAGAATCTATCATTGAAAATGTTGATGAAGCTTTATTATCAGATGAAGTTCCATTACCATCAAAAAACACTGATGATAGAATTTCTGAGGTAAAGATTGATATAAATGTTTAATGAATGCATGTTTAAATAAACTCATTGTTTTATTAATAATAGGGGATCATTGATCCAAATATTATTGAATTATTTTGTAAATACCAAAAACAAATACCAAATGCACATAAAGTGCTGACATAAGTCTAGTGTTATTGTCTTAAAGCATGATCCTTTCATACTCATTAATATATTCATTCGCTAATTTTTAGTCCTACATACTGGGGAATATTGAATTTAACTAAAGAGAGTATCAAGGACTTTAAAATAAAGGATAAAGAAATCCAAAAATTATCCCTAGATTTTTCTAATAAAATCTAATGGAATAACGATGTCTCCACTCCAAGTTACATCCAAAAATATTTCAATAACAATTGTGAAAATGCTGACAAAAATGATTCTGTTAAAAATTTGGACATTAATATCCAGTTTATGTAAGCATAATGGACACTCATTTTGTGCAACAGTGATTTGTATAATGGGCAGACTGTTACACAGACCCAGTTGCTTCTGAAACTTCACTAGAATATAGCTGTAACCTCTCTAAGTCCAGATCATCAGCAAGATCAAAATTATCTCACACTTTTATAATCAAACTTTTGCAAGAACTTTCACCATAACATATGTTATGTTGATCATTTTTTTGTGATCTGCAACAGTGTCCACTATGCTGTTTATGTATGTATATTGAATATATTCTTTAAATTATTTTTTTACTAATAAGATGTTTTCATTTGGATTATTGTTCAGTAAAAACAAGATGTCAAAACTTCAAACGATATGCACAGAGGAAGAATTGAAGATGTGGACTACAGTTCCGTTATTTTCTGGCATTTTTACATCAATGAATATCAAAAACACTTAGTAATAAATCAATATTTCTTTTAAAAGAATTTCAAATGATGATGCAGTGATTTTTTATTTTCAAATATTAGGGGTGAAATCCAAGCAATTTCAACAAACAGGGCACAAAATGAAAAAATCAATCCTTTTTTAAGAGCAAAAGTTGGACATAAAGTAGATATGAAAGGTACTTTGATCAAAACACCGAGTAAATTTGGACCTGAAATAGTTCAAATTCTTTTGGTTTTATTTACAAAAAAAAAATAAAAAGCTTGAAGAAAAGATTGCTGAGTTAGAAAAAGGGAATGCTGAGTTAAAAGAAGAGTTAGAAAAGAATAAACTCCTTGTTGAAAAATGAAAAGCAAGACCAGAGAAGGCTGAAATTGATAACGAAATTCATTTAGAGGCTTTAGAAACAGGAGGAAAAGAAAGATGAACTCAGAAAGAAGCATCAATAAATGAGATAGCAGAGAAAAGCCAAAAGTTAGAAATTTCTAGTAAGATAATTGAGAATAAAGATGCAAGAATTGGTGAATTAGAATGAGAACTAAAACAAGAAAGGGAAAAAGTAGAGGTGTCTAATAAGATAATTTCAGAAAAAGAATCACGAAACAAAAATCTCACAGAAGAAAACAAAGGATTGCAAAATCAATTGCATTTAGCTGAAAAGGATTTACCTGCTTTACCTAAAAAGCAAAGCAAATTTAGACAATTAAGAACAAAATTAAAAACTGAATTCCATCAATTGGTGAAAACAAAAAAATGCCAAATCCAAGAGTTAGTTGCTAGAATAGAGGTAGGTTGATAATTAATGAGAGAACTAACTTACACACTTTTAGGTTTAGAAAGGTCAAGTCAGAAAACATGTGATTTTTGTTCTAATTGTTATGGAGAGGATAATAAATCTGTTAACCAAATAGTAGCTCGTGTTAAGGTATGGTAAATATGTTGCAAATGATGTAGTGTGTGAAAGTTGTAAGGAGAAATTCAAGAATGATGAATTGGAAAAATGTGAGAGATGTGGTAGATTACAAACTAAACATTATATTGATGTTCATGGTGACAAATTTGTTTGTTTTTGTATTAGATATGAAAAAGACATGGAAGAAAAGGAACTCCCACTTTTGCCCAGTGAGGAAATAAGTCAGTCTGCTTTTTATGAAAGACAAATAAATGGATTACAAGAAGAATTAGCCACTGCTGAAGAAGCATTAGAAATTGAAAGAGAGGAAATAGCCAAGTTTCAAGAAAATCCTGAGAAATGAAACAAAAGACAGAAACAGGAATTATTAGATAAGATTAAACAACAAGAAACAGAAATTATTAAATTGACTCAGAAAATTGAACAATTGAAAACTTTAACCCCTCAATAGTTAGTCAATAAGTTAAATACCTGTGAAGCAGAGAATGAAAATTAAAGAACCAGTTAGAACAATTACAACAGAATGGTCAATTAACTGCACAAATTGAAATTAAAGAAACTAAGAAATGACCTTTATTGAAAATAAGAAAGTAATTTTTGGTTATTTCCCTCTGTATAATTTCAACTATCAAAGAAAATGATAGTTATTTTCTTTCTAAGGATTTTTGCTTTTTATTAGATAATAGTACATGTGTGACTTTTTTGAAAATTTCTTGAAAAATTTTAATTTGACTTTTAAACATCAATAACAATCAGTCCAATATGATATTTTAGAATGTTATGGGAATCATTTCAACAAACTAATTCACAAAATCAATTTGCTTAGTAAAAAAATGAGTATTTGTATTACCTGTTTATTCAATTATTTTTGTGGATCATCAAGTGAGTCAATACTTTTTTTAGGGGTGTGTATGTAGTTGCCTCAAGTTAAAACATTTCGACTTTGGGGTTTTAATTTTGACTTCATGTATAGCCTGATTTTCTCACCAGTTGTAATCCCCCATATATCAGTCACAGGATATGTCATGCATATCAATAGGGAGTTGTAAAACAGTAAATTTTTGTTAATTTTACTATAATGCAGATCATCAACAACAAGTTGATTATTATGTTTTTCAAATAGAATAATTTTCTAAATAATTAATGAAAATAATACTTAGCCAAAAGTTTTGCTCTTTCAGTTGA